GCTTTGCGTTCTGCAGAGTTACGAAGCTTCAACTGAAGTGTTTGGGTTCTTAAATGGTCTCGCTTGTGCGATGTTACGGCGTGGGGGCGCTTTGTCGCGCTCACCAAGGTGAAAGCCAAAGTTCTTTTTTTTGAGTGAGAGAGCGAGCCCCGAACAAGAGCGTTGTGTCCATTTTAAGCAGGCTGACCTTTGGTCCGCCCCACGACGCGATCTTCCAATCGGACGCTGTTGCAGGGCGGAGCGTGCATACATTAACAAAGGGGCTTCAATTCATCACATGAGAAAAATCTTTGCGCAGACTTGGTTGATACTTTTATAAAGTTTCCTAATGCGAGTCTTGTACCCACTATTAAATTTTACTTCATTTCAACATTCGGCATTTGTCGTGCCCATCCGTTCAAGATTAAACTTCACATATTACCACATTTTAATAACCTTATTTCCTAAAAAGAAGGTAATAAACACTGATTAAAGTTTCACCGATTACATGAAACACATCAAGCATAAGACATACAACATATTATTTTTGAATATATTGCCCCGATACTTTTCAATGATTTCCACTGATTGTCTTATGAATTGTCTGTGTACGTTTTGTTTCTTTGTCTGTGACAAAAGGAGTTTGTAAGGGTTTCCGTCAGGGCAGAAAGCAGATGTTCAGTGGGTCATGTGGTAGTCATGCATGATCCCGTGTTGCAGGCCTGAGGACGTGATTAAATTACTGTCCTTTTCCTGTTTGGATATAATAGTTGCACTCATTGGTGGTCACAAGACATCGTGGTTTCTATATGTCGTGAAATAGCTTTTCAGTCCTGATACAAAGAAAGCTTTGTTGTCTCCTGATTTAATTAATTCGAAGCCTCATGATGGCTGATAGGGGCATAGCAGTGGTCCGTCCATGTACTAGAAATCCCTACAATGGAAAATTCCAAAGTTTCAGTAAATTAATTTCACAATTTGACTTTAGATTGTATGGCTTGCAATGAAGTTTAAACATTTCTGTGTTTCTTTCTTTCCCTTTTTGATAAAAGATCTGCTTAACACACAGCAGTGACTATTGAACACGCACACCATGAACACACACCTGGAGCAGTGGGCAGCCATTTTTGCAGCAGCACCTGGGGAGCAGTTGGGGGTTCAGTGCCTTGCTCAGGGGTCTCACCTTTGGGTTACAATTCCGACTTTCTAACCATTAGGCCACAACTGCTCCGCAGGCTGCTGTCACTTTAAGAACTAACGCATGGATCCAAAATTCTGAAACATCAAGATTGCAAGAGTTTTATCCGGTGGGAAAGGGTCTGAAATGGCTCTTTTGTTGTTGAAGGTTGCAGACCCCTGCCCTTGGAGGTCACGAGGAGTCACGCTGTATGGATCTTGGGTGTTTGCAGGCCTGGAGAGTGTCACGTAAATTTGCCTTTTCCTGTTTTCGGGCTTCTACTATGGATTTATGCATAGTGTCCACAAGGTAGCACTTAACCGTGTGTTGCTTAAACGAGTCTTCAGTTCGTCGAGACAAAGGAGTTCTCTTTTCCCTTGATTGGATTAGCTACTATCATGTTGATAGGAAACTAATCCAGACAATGAGGGTGTTGTCAGTTTTACGATCTCGTGATGGCTGTGTGGGGGAGTCTTTAGATCCTGTTTTGGGAATGTGTTTATTCTGCAGCTTTTTAGTGGGTCTGTTCCGCAGAGGCCTTACACAATGAAGAACAAAATAAAAAATGAATCTCAGTCTCTCTTAAAAGTGTTACAGTCTCTTCTTCAGCTTCCTGAACAAGAACAGTTTGAGTTTGTAAAAATCTCTGCTTTCCTCCATGAAAGAGTAAGCAAACTACAAGTGACGCATGCATTATAAGACAATTGAACATAATATGAAACTCATAAGAAAGCACACTAATGTTGTTTATATCATGAAGCAAAATGGCATACAAGAATAAACCTTTATTCACTGTGAAAACTTTAGATAATGTTTCTTTGTCATGTCACTTGTAATGACAGATTTATCCAGATGATATTTCACTGCTCGATGCATTATTGTGTCACATTTGGTGAGGACGCAGCATCAGACCTGAAAGTGCTGGATCTGAAGATGATCTACTTACTGTGAGTGTTTTTTGTATGTCTGTGCAGTGCAGTGATACGGTTTCTCTCCAGTGTGGATCCTCTCGTGTGTTTTCAGATTTGCTGAAAGTTGTCACAGTGTGAACACTTATAAGGTTTCTCTTCAGTGTGAATCCTCTCGTGTGTTTTCAGATGTCCTGAATGACTGAATCTCTTGTCACAGTGTGAACACTTATAAGGTTTCTCTCCAGTGTGGATCATCTCGTGTGTTTTCAGATTTCCTGAATGACTGAATCTCTTGTCGCAGTGTGAACATTTGTACGGTTTCTCTCCAGTGTGAATCCTCTCATGTGTTTTCAGATGTCCTGGATCAATGAATCTCTTGTCACAGTGTGAACACTTGTAAGGTTTCTCTCCAGTGTGAATCCTCTCATGCAGTTTTAAACTGCTCGCTGAAGTAAAAGTCTTCTCACACTCAAAGCACATGTACTCTCTCACACCAGTATGTATTTTCTGATGTACTTTCAAATTTTGTAGACGTGAAAAACTCTTTCCACAGAAATGACATGAATGGGGCTTCTCCTTTATATGAACTTTAAGGTGTTTCTTCAGGCCTGAAGCTCTCAAAAATGTTTTGCCGCACTGATCACATGTGTACAGTTTCTCTCTAGTGTGGATGTTCATGTGATCCTTAAGGTTTGCCGAGTGTGAGAAACTCTTCCCGCACTGATCACAAGTGAACGGTTTCTCTCCAGTATGAACTCTCATGTGTGCTGTAAGGGCTCCTTTTTGTTTGAAACTCTTGCCGCACTGATCACATGTATAAGGTTTCTCTCCAGTGTGGATCCTCTCATGCAGTTTTAAACACTTTGCTGTAGTAAAAGTCTTCTCACACTCAAAGCACATGTACTCTCTCACACCAGTATGTGTTTTCTGATGTCTTTTCAAACTTTGTAGTAATGAAAAACTCTTTCCACACAAATAACATGAATGTGGCTTCTCCTTTGTATGAACTCTCAGATGCTGCTTCAGGCCTGAAGCCCTCAAAAATGTTTTGTCACATTGATCACATGTGTACAGTTTCTCTCTAGTGTGGATGTTCATGTGATGCTTAAGGCTTGATGATCGTGAGAAACTCTTCCCGCACTGATCACAAGTGAACAGTTTCTCTCCAGTATGAACTTTCATGTGTGCCGTAAGGGCTCCTTTTTGTTTGAAACTCTTGCCGCACTGATCACATGTATAAGGTTTCTCTCCAGTGTGAATCCTCTCATGCTTTTTTAAATTGCTCGCTGTAGTAAAAGTCTTCTCACACTCAAAGCACATGTAGTCTCTGACACCAGTATGTATTTTCTGATGCACTTTCAAACTTTGTAGTAATGAAAAACTCTTTCCACACAAATAAAATGAATGTGGCTTCTCCTTTGTATGAACTCTTAGATGCTGCTTCAGGCCTGAAGCTCTCAAAAATGTTTTGTCACATTGATCACATGTGTACGGTTTCTCTCCAGTGTGGATGTTCATGTGTATCTTAAGACTTGATGAGTATGAGAAACTCTTCCCGCACTGATCACAAGTGAATGGTTTCTCTCCAGTGTGGATGTTCATGTGAATCTTAAGGGTTGATGATTGTGAGAAACTCTTCCCGCACTGATCACAAGTGTATGGTTTCTCTCCAGTGTGAACTCTCATGTGAAGATCAAGATTATGTTTGTATGTGAAACTCTTTCCACACTGAGTGCAGGTGAAAGATTTCTTGGCTCTTCTTTTCTTTAAAACTTTCAGAGTTCGACAGCAACTCAAAGGTTTTTTTCCAGTTCTGAAGTGATTTTTTCCGTCAACTTCACTCAATTCTTCATTCTTCTCATTTTCTTCAATCAACTCTGAAATGAAAGTACAAATGGTTTATTTTCATTAACTCTTTCC